TTTACTGCAAATCTTAAGATTTTACATGATATTAGCTATGATTAAACATAGCTAATATCATGTCTTGAGGTAAACTTCCTTTGATTTAAGCGAAGTAGATAGAGCACTGCCGCCTAAATTAAATTCTTCCATTATACTTACGTAAAATTACCCTTTTGTAGTTTAATTGTTAGTTCCATCTATAATTTGCGTAATAAACACACGGAAACGAAATTCTTAATCTGAATATCACTTCTACATTGCCTTTACATTTTCCTATAAAATATGTATAATAGTATGACTATTATACATATTTTATTTATATTGTTCTTAATGGTTTCAATATTGTTCTAAATATATATTTCAAGAATTATATAAACGACTACTATGATAGATGTTGATATCGTAGTAACATGCACATTCCGCTTTATATTTTCACATCATAACATACCTATGTGAAGAAAATCTTATACAATCAAGTGACTACCTAAAAGCTTAATTATGTTATACTTTAAATTTTATTTTTATTTCGGTACTCTTATGTACCTACCTACTCTAAATAGTAAAAATTTTGTAAACTAATATATATTCATCTTCTATTGTTCGTTCTGTTATTATACCAATACCAATTTGGTTTCCATCGCTTTCTTGATAATTTCTTTGATTAACTATATAACAAAACAAGCTTGCTTCGCACAGGTGAAGTAGGTAGGAAGATAAGGATACTGATCTATTAATTTGTAACGACTAAAACTACTTGAGTAAGTGAATATGTGGTTTTGGTTGACACCATCTAAGAAGGTGCGATCAATGAAAGATTTTATATAACATAACTAAATATACAATAGCGGTAATGTACAGACACTAAAAGAAAAATAACAAATTCAAATGACATCTTGTAATTTTCAAGGTAAAATTTGCAAATCTTTAAATATATTTCAATTACTTTCTTTTCCGTGATAGAAAGTTTCATATGGCTGTTGTGAATGTACCTAAAGAGGTTGGTATACTTACTTATATTACAAATGAGTGTTTGTTAATCTGTCAATTGCGACAATATTTTTTTTGTGATGCTTTTTAAGCCGTAATTGATGTTTACAACTTCACTTGACGAAAATGAGGGTTATTATGGAACACTCCAACCCGCGAAAGAATTTATATTGCGATTAAATGCCAATTCCTGTCTGCTGTATACAACTTCAGTTTGAGGACACTGGAAAAAATCTAAAAATCGACTTTGTTGTATTTCTGATACCCGTTGGAATAAGATTGAGGAGACGTCGGATGGATCTGGAATTAAATAGACAAGTGTAGCAATATGTATACCATAGTGCCTATTGGAAATGAAGTCAACGTCATCTGTCGAGCATTGGTGTAAACTTTCTTTACACTTGTCGGTAAAAAAATGACTTAGGTACAGTATTTCTCTAGGGGATTGTATATGATGATAAACACTTTATACTTTACATTTCATTACATACTTTGTTTATTTTCACCTAGAAGTATGTATATTAAACTTATTTTAGCAAATATGTCAGTACAAATGTGCAAAAACGTTTCTCATCTCAAGAATGAAATTTACAAAACTTAAATATATAGATTTATTGTTCTTACCATCTTATTATATATATGGCTATATGTAGCAAAGTGACTACTAATAAAAGTAGATCTCACTAATTCTCTCTGAATTAGGCACTACTTATTCTTCGTACCTACCTATATTAATTTAAATACCATAGGTAGGTAGATATATATTCCATATCTACCTCGTTACAACTCGTCATTTGCATGGGTATGGGTACGTCTATTTCACATCTTTAGCCAGCTTGCTTTTTAAGTATAAAAAATAATATTTATTCAAATAAACTCAGTAGAAGTAATTTTAAATAGTATTTTTTTAATCTAACATTCACATTCCCTATGAAGATCCAGTCAAGAAGAACCAAGATACTTGTTTAGATACATGATATAGAACTGCTGCTCATTTAAATAAATGTTGTTCAACTTTACATTTTGTATTAATATAAAGCTTTCTGTTTCATATATCAGATGTAGTAGTGAAATTATAAATGATTTCATGACTCGCTGTTATTATATTAAGTCATGTTTAATATAGATGGTTGTCATTGTCTATAAGGTTAGTCTATAATCTTGTATGGCATTCAAGTTACAAAAAAAAACCCCTCTTATACGAATATCATAAACTATATGCGAATATACCACGATCTACTTACAAATAGGTATATTTAAACGAATGATGAGAATGTTCCACACTGCTACGGCGTTCTAAATATTAGACAGCAGTAAATTATACGCACATTCCGACATTAACCAGAACTCGACAACACCATATTATGTTGATGTTTATTGGTATTAGTTTAGATGATATTTTATTATAAGCTGGTTCTCTGAATGTATGATATAATAAACATCACAATTGAAACCCTATGTGTAGGTACTAATTTTAAATCTAAGAATATATAGATATGTCTCTATTCTCTTCTCCGTCGCTTCTTAATACAACAAGAAGTACACCTACACCTATGTAATATACAAATTCTAAGAATATAAGGTAGGTAGGTATGCCATAAATGTTTTAATACAAACATTCTCCAAGTACTGACACAAACCAAATCGTATGCCAGTAAAAATTATAGCTGATTTGTGAACTTACTACTTACCTAAGTTGAATTTCTTAAAGTCTGCGTAGATAGGAGAGAATCCTTTGCATACTTAAAATTGATGAACATAATAAAGCCGAATGAGATTCACGCCACAATGCAAGCCAGTGTTCGTGTTAAGAAATTTCTATGTTAAATAGTTCAAATTCCAAAAGACCAATGTCTATGCCATACGTTTACATTATACATACCATATATCTTCTTATATCTATTAGTATAAGGATGTACTGATATCAATTTTTTTTAGGGACTGGATTTGGAATTCGAAGATTGATTTTAGTGCCTACCTAATATGTAAAGTACAAAGGTAATCAATACCTGAGAATTCAGGTATTGATTACCTTTGTAAATCTAATACTACTAATACTATTATTTTTGTGTAGTACATTCGTACTACACAAAAAAATTATTGTGATGACAGATTTTTTATTTATTTCAATCACAAGTAAATTTTTCCGCCTAACAAAGTGTATACATTAAGCTAGTAAATTTTATATTAAAAATTATATAAAATAGACAATTTTCTATAATCAACTACTACGATTCTTCTGTTACATATTAAGAACAACACTAAAATATTTATCCATACCTACCTACATCATTATTGCTAACCACTGTTGTTATTTATTTATTCCGTATAGCCAAAATTTTATTAATCTTGACATCGTAGTTATAATAAGGGTACAAAGGCGTTATTGTTATAACCTTAGTTAAGATCCGTTTAAAAAGTTTTTATTTTATTTCTGTTAATGTGGCAAGGAAAAATAATACGTCTCGTTCTAAGCTGGTGTTTTTATATCCATACAAAAATAACATCAATAAATAAATAATATAAAAGCACAATAATTACATATTGTATTTAATTTACAAGTTGAATTAATCCATCAATGTATCTATCAAAAAGTAATAAGAGGTATAGCTATTTTGTAAAATAAACACTTTGGAGTTATTTTACCTCCTTTAGACTAATATATCAGTAAATATTTGTGATTCAGAAAATAATGGCATTACTTTTTGATAGACATATTTTCATTCAATATGAACTTTTAAATAATATGCTTAGGTACATTTCATGTGAAGACGTTTACATGTGTTAATTTGCAAATAAATTATATAGATACATGAAATTAACTTAGTACTTATATTAACTTGTGCTTCATTCCTCATCGTCCCATTCGACGAGTATAAACGAGTCATTATGTTTTATAAACTAACTTTAATATGGCAAACTTTATGGCATATTACTGTTGTCATACATTAGATAGTTAAAGCTTTCCGATAGGTAAGTACATACATTCTTGTAGTAACTTTTGTTAGTAAGTACATAGGTAAGTTCTATACAAGCACTAATTACTAAATAATTTATTATTACAAGTCATAAGACTTGAGAGTCTCTTTTAAAATTTGATTTTTGTGTAAGGGGTCCAACTGCTATTTATCAATACTGTAATAAATTAATTCAAATTATATTATTAATTATTCCTAAACAATTCTGCACTTCAATGCATACATACATTACTCCACTAAATTCAAATTATAGGAACCCAAACTTCAGTTCAAGATCTTACAGCGATCTTAAAGAGCCACTTTGAGTGAAAAATTCAAACTCATAGGTACTGACTCTTATTGTTGATAACACATTTCGCTTTCTCTTTTAGTTATGAATAACGTGCTGCAAAAAGTTAAAAATAAAATATTTAGCAAGACAGGAAAGAAATTTGAAGATAAATCTATAGTGATAGTGAAAGGCAAAGATAAATGCATTGTATTTTATTACAATAATCAAAGAGTTACGTTCTACGTTTAAAGATTCCATTGTTTGCGTCAATTTGTAAATATATGATGCCTAGCTTATAAATAACAATAAATAAATATCTTAAGGCACATTTTAGGACATCCAAGATCACAATTTCATATTTTTGTAGACAGTTTGAAATTAAGACAATTGTGGAATGTCTACTTCGTTTTGAATAGGTCGTCAGATGGAGATTCTTTTTTTACTAGATTAGCTAATATTGAAATTGTAATAATTAATATAACTATTTATACAGTTAGGTACTTAAAAAACATAAGCGCATACATTAAGTATTTCTGCATTGTGCAGAATAACAATACCGACACAATTTACAAATATTCATACCGTAACTATATAATATGCAAATTTTGCAAATATGGTCTTAAAACTACTTAATAAATAAATTCAAGTAATGGGGTATCGTGAATAATTATAATATAATAGTCTACAATGTCTGTCAATTTCACGATTCTATTTACACTGGTTATATTTACAAGGTGTTCAAATTCGCCACGTCCTGCGCGCGTTCTACAGTTTCTCATCACTTTAACAATTTGCACCATGCACTATTACAATTTTCTACTGATATTTATACGATGACGGCAGTATTAAGTCTCCGAAAGAGTACAACGCATTAGCATACCAATGAACGCCACGTGACACCTCCTTAGAACTACTCCAACCTGCCATCCATCTTAGAGGAGCCATTGCCACGTGAGCTAGCGAGTGACTCCTGACGAGCGCATAACAGGACGCTAAAGCATCATCTACTATTATAGTCCCAGATTTAGTTAGAGGTGCGTAAACACCACGTTTCGATGTAATTCGAGTTTTCACCACCCTCGACGGTCGCATTACACTCCCCGGCCCTCTTGTTAAGAGGACATCGCCGATTTGGACGTTAGTCGCAAAGGATTCCCGCCAGCCGTCGGCAGCTGCGAGGAGTAAAAGATGAGACGGCGTTGTCGAGATTGCCACACCGTTTTCCGCAATTATTGTGATAAATTGCCTTGTGGCATTTGGGTCTCGATCGATGAATGTTAGAACCTGAAAAAGAGAGAACATTAAATAATTATTTTGAGCAATAAATTTGTTGTAACAAATGGAGTAAGACAAGTGTTGTTTTTAGATCGTGTGTAACTTTGGTATTTTATTAATAAACAAAATGTATAGTCAGTAACTTATAGTATATATATATATATATATATAATATATATATATATATATATATATATATATATATATATAGCTGTGTGTTAAATTTCAATAAAAATATACCCTATGTGTTATTCTGATGCATAAGCTATATTACTGTAAAGTTTCATCAAAATCAGTTCAGTAGTTTTTGGCGTGAAAGAGTAACAAACATCGTACTTACGAACTATATATCATTTTGAAGCGGTTTTTTTATTAGATAGAGTGATTCAAGAGGAAGGTTGTGGGTAGCTAGTATATATATCTATAAATATAAAAAAGATAAAATAGAGAAACCAAAAATGAACACATCTTTGTATCTGCTTCCTATATTTTTCCTTTATTCTTAATTAAACAAGCAGTTGATTGATTTTTGTAAATCAATTTAAATAATACTCTACATAGAGTTAAAGTCTCATGTGATCGATTCTTAATATTCATGAAATAGGTACTACTAATGAAAGTCCTTCAGAACTAACACATAAATCGCTAATTATGAATAAGAAGGTGCCAGTCCTATACTATGTACCTATATGACTGGCACCTTCAGATCAGTCTGTTTGTTAGCTTTACCCGATCGGATATTAACGGAATTTGACCTTAAGATACTTATAGGTATATCGAGAACAGATACAGACTGTCTTGTATATTAAAAGAAAACAGGTAAAGTTTCGAGTAATTGCTTATACAAGACTAATAATAATATATCGATCTGCTTCGATCTTAAAAACATAGTTTATTTATTTATTTATTTTATTTATTTTATTTAAAGATAACAATGACTTACAAAGTTATGACTGTAAAAAAAGCATGAATGTTTGTGCTATATAATACAATAATTACTTATCTGCTAGTTTTATGACAGGTATACAAATCTTATTACAACTTAGTTCTTTGATATATAGTAATATAGTGCCCAACTGACTGTGGTTTTGTTGAATTTTCAGTTGATAAGATTCCTATAGATAGTATCGTTGGTATGATTAGAATGCTCACCTCAGAATATATAAGTTTCCCATCATCGTCTGCTGCTAAAACGCGATCACCCTTTCGGATTGTAGATATATCACGTGTCCCATTAGTCGTGTACACCACAGATCCAGAAGGAAAGCAGCCAGCGCCGGTTCCAACTGAAGATTCTGTAAATTAAAAAAATTCATAAAGTTAGGTATATTTAAAATTTTTCATAAGTTGAGTCTAATAAATGTATTGTAAATGTAAAAAATGTCAAAATAATTCGTACGCGCCGTACGAATACAACACAAGCCAAAAGCAATAAAATAAAGTCGAGAACATAAAATCGTGCAAGGGTCGATAGTAAATTAGCTCGGAGCAGTCATATCCCTTTAAGGAATAACGAGATTTCTCTACGCTTGTAATTAAAATCCGATAAGATACGAAACAAAAGAGAATCGCAGACGCTCGCTGTTGCCAGCCGAAGGTTATCGGCACGCCAAGCGCCAAGTAGCTTCAGGTTCTGTTTTATACAGGTAAGCTTAAAACTAGCGGACTCCAACGTGACAGAAACGTGTATAGCCTGTGAAACTCACAATAAACATATTTCCCAGAAATCCGTCATTATAAGCTCATAGACAAACTTTTTAAAGCGATAAACAAATTTGATCCGTTTTGTAAATTCTTTAAAAGCATTGTTCGAAAAAATAAACCCATAGAAACAAAGCGTTGGACCCTAGTTTTCTGAACTTGTTTGTTTAATATATAATTGTATTTATTTTAATCCGTATCCAGCTTAAACTGTGCCTGTGTATAATCTTCTGTCGATGTAAAAAAAGTGTCTATTTACGTGCAATTCAATGGTATCCTAAAGATATCTCTTTGACTATTAACGAAAGACATGTACTGCCGCTGTATTGGCGACTATGTGTGGGTACAATAGACCATGTAAGTATTAAGTGGTGAGAATGGAAAGTACACAGTTTGCCGCATAAACCTCGTAGATACTTTTATTTACAATTACCGCCAGTGGTGTAATTACACGCGTAAATGAACATTAAAAGTGTTCCTTTGCAGAGCGGCTATAGATGGGCGGCAATATTGGCGTCGTTTGTACGAGCTTGTTAAATTTTGATTTGTTGTGTAACCGACCGATAAATACAGTCAATCCTCGTACACAAACTATTCACAATAAGATGGGCCCCCGATCGCATTACACAATAACCACACAAATTAGATTTCGTTCAAAGTCAAGCGCATATTGTCGAAGTTTGTTTGTTGTTGGGCGAATATATCACACGAACCATTGAATAGGTGTCGGCCACCTTTGCGTGAATTTTTTGCAACTCATCTCTTATGTAGACTTTGTGTATATGGAAGGGAAATATCTGCACTTTAGATATATTTTACAGAAAATAAATCACGGACAAGAATCGTATCTAGCATTTCAGAATAGTAAGTAGATATATATATGTACATTTATTGGAGCAATATTTTATATATTTGTATATAATATTGTTTATTGATTCAAAGGGATGAAGACCTATTGCAAAAACGTTAACCAAAGTTTACCAGACAGATACTGCTTTTTTACATACATATAACATGGTTTGTATAACGTATAATTACGACAGTCAGAATTTTTTAATACATGATAATGTAATAGCTCACTCGCCTGCGTTATTTACGAGGGCGTGATGCTATTGGAGGATAATATGATGAGCATCAGTTAAATACCATGAGGTCGGTTAACCTATTGTACCTAGTAATTTCCCTATGATTTCCAAGGGGAACTGCGTGGAGGTCAACGTGACATGGTACAGTGTTTCCATTGCACATTCTCTTTTCCTGAACCACCGTTAGAAATCAGAATATCAATATCAAGTAAGTATATAAACAATTCTTATTAATCTTTTGTAGAGTACCGGAACTCTTATACAGGGGATGAATTTGCTTGCTGCGCCTAGTACAATGATCTGCAAGGCAATCTTCTCAAATATAAATATGTTGTAAACTCTAAGAGACATACAAGATCAAAAGATGTCTTAAAGATAAAATTTTTAAACAGATGGAGCTTTAAATAACTAAGCCGTAACCATGGGTTTATTGAAATGTAGAGACTATATAGACATTGGTGTCGAAGAGGTACCTACTTGTATTGATGATATGAAAAGAAGAAAAATAAAGAACTACATATATTTTACTAGGACATCGAAATATTGTAGGTATTTAATTGTGTCTATGAAGATGTTGTCTAAAATAAGAACATACAGATTTTTTATGGTAAGATTAATTTTTATTAAATCTAAACTTACTTAGGTACTTTGGCTATTTCTTCAATAAGGAGGTACTTACATATCTACTACTCGGAGGAATAGTCAAATATGTATCTTACCTATAACTTTCAATGTACCTACGTGCCTACATAACCGGTATTAAGATTTCCCTGAAAGCAATTCATGAATAAATTGATAGAGTAAGTTTTACATAAAGTAAGCAAAATAACCGACATAATGTTAGTTTTCTGTACCCATAAAATCGAGTGATCGTACTAAATTTATTCTTGTAAAATATTAAAATCCGCGATCCTACCTTCTTAAGCCTTTAAATGGTTACGGGTACGACCTTAAAACCGGTCAAAGTACGATTTCACAGTGACGTAAGTAACGTTAGGCTGAAGATGCGACGATAAGCAGAGCGGGCGCTGGTGCGGGTTGAGAGGCGCGCGGGGGGCGGAGCGCCGGCGCAGCCGAGTGGCCGCGGAGACCCCGCCCCGCGAGGACCACCGGGAGAGCTAGGCGGCGCGGTGCCCCGCCGGCCTCCGCCGCCTCACTCACCACACATCGCCACCACGACAAATGTACGCACGTGACACTATTCATAATTCATCTCAATAGATGACAACGCTCATCGGGATACATCACATCGAAACCCCTGTTTTTAAAACGAAAGATAGCAGCTAAGAGACCACTCCCATTATCCATTATACTTTCTGGTAAACAATAGGAACCGTTCGGATTGTTTTCACCTATAATTAGACTACCTTGAATAGCAATACACATTATACAGAGAATATACATAAAAAACAAATCTGCGCTTAGAAATCCGAACGCATTTTTTTGATAAAGTCTGATCGCATCGGTAAACTCAGATTTATATCGTATAGAATATCAATTAGTCGATGCGCGGTCATGCAAATGCCAAACCGCGCCGGCTATGATTCATGCGCCCGCGCCGGTCGTCGTTATATGGGTACAATCCTTACAATGTTTAAAAAGAAATGAATGCTTATTACCGTATCAGTTTCAGTGATTCTTTATGACAGTATTGCAAATGTGCCGATATATTCAGCTACTTATAAGTAGGTATGCACTTTTAAAGATTTAAAAAATAAATATTGTGCATACGTAAATTAATTAATTAACTAGTCTAGAATTATAAGTTACCATATAGCATAAAAACTAATCCTAGCCAACACATAGTTAAAATATTTGGATAGTGCAAAAATTATATATATATACCTATAGGGTACCTACATAATACCTAGACATTTTGCACAACATATTTTGTAAAGCCAAAGTCGGCATAATGATGTAATTTTCAGAAATTCATGCAGAAGTAGTAAGTATAGAGGGTTCTATGCGTCTGAAAATACAGGAAATAGTTTGGATATCAAATAATTTGTCGGTTTGGATTCTCTTCTTGATGTGAAACCTAATAAAGGTAAAGTAGTACCTATATTATAAACAACAACGACCGAAGTAAACCAACTAGGTATATCTATAAAATAAGTTCTAATAATTGAATTGGTAGAGATTTGTGTAAGTAGACCAATGTCATACCTATCTATTTCCGCCGTGAAGCCATCAACTGCTCGATCCGAGTCACGATTCAAGACAAAAACTGTAGGTATCTACATCGACATAGCAGGTTCCTTACGAGAGTGAATTAATATATTTTGTTTTGTCCATAGAAATCTCTACCAGTACTTCTATCTTTCTCCCAATAAACTATACCAGTACCTAGTAACAAAAGGACAATGAATCTGTACCTACCATCTATTAAACTCTATCGTCAGTAGCAAACTGAGTAAAATGTGCAACGAAATCTCTACCTACTACCTAAACTGTACCAACACAGTACATAGAATTATCATAGATATCGATTAAAAAGATGCATTAGATTAGTGAGTATTATTGTAAATTGAAAAATACGACATGAAAAGCATTTTAAAATTGCCTACATGTGGACGCATAATATGTACCTACTTGATGTCGGCTTTTAGGTACCAACACAACAACAGTGAAATGCAATAGCGAGATATGAAATCAATTTTACGATGTTACACGAGTTGAACAGTCTTAGTAGCGAATTTATAAGTACAAATAAGCGAAGCTTTCTAATGTAATATGGATTTATGTTTCGGATTATCATAAATCACTGTTCTTTGAAAGTTATAAATCTTTAATAATAAATAATACAAATTACTATGCTTATTTATGTAAGTACCTATTATAAATAAGTATAGACGATTGTAAGTACGTAAGTACTTATTATTCATGAAATAGATACCTAATGCAGTCAAGCGATATTATACGATCGAATTTCTAACATAAAAAATGCCACTAATAATAACTAGATAGGTGATAATGATGCATAAAAAACTATCAAGTATGTAAGTATTCATATAGGTCATATAATCTACACGTATGTAACGATATATATAGATTAATGAGACTGGGCAAAATTCTGTTCCATTTCATCTGATCCCTAAAGCACAGAGATGAAGAAAAAGTAATTACCTAAAATGGAAATGTTATAACAAATTGTTTTAATTATAAAGTAATCATTGAGTTATTAAAATTTTAAAATTAATTTTCATTATAAAAAAACAAACTGAGAATTACTTTTTGAAGTCTCTATTGGACAATTTTAAATATCAATAAAAAATATCTAATTCGCAATACGATATATATCCCGAATCTTATGATTTTAAGCAACAGATCTTAGAAATTGATTATTAGATAAGTAATGAGAAGGTCCAATGATATCTAACATCGAATAAAACCAACATGAAAAGGTAGTTAATACTTAAATAGGTAGATACTGGACAACGCGATCAAGATGCATCGGGTGCGTGTGGGAACGTAGCGCTGTCCAGCCGCAACCTTCCGGGATGTGGCGT